TTTTTGCAACGCAAACCACAGCTATTCTCTTGTCCTAACCTTATTGGTTTAAACGCAACAATTGAAAGGAGCACTGCTCTGTCTGACTCAACCTAACTGCTTAAAAAAAAATATTATGTAAATGAACGCGCCCCACGCTATCTGAATAAACAGCTGTGTGAGAATAACTTGTGTGAGACACTGTCAACACACGCACATCTCCTGCCGCAGTAGCTCCCAATTAAGATCTTTGGGGAGTAGTTAGTTTACAGGTTATCTTTTACACTTTTCCAAAACTTTTTTTTTTTTTTCAGGCCTTGAAACTTGGGGAATCGATACTTTTCAGATTTTTCCCTCCCTCATGTGCCTACCTACTAACAGGTTTGGCAAAGATAAAAAAGTGGAATGGCTGATTCCACTAAGTGGGGAGAGAAAAAGCAAACGTGTAAGCTATTATCACTTTAACAATGAAAGCCTGACTCATGATTCTGCAAGGATTTCTAGGATGGCAAGTCTTCAATGAGCAATTCTTTGGATAAGAACCAGACAGTATTTCAGTGTTCATATTTTTAAATTATTTTTGAGAAAAGGTTCTTTTTACTTATAACTTTCTTTACAGTCCATTCTTTAAGAAAAAAAGAAAAACCAACTCAGAATCTATGCATGATGAGCTGTAAGATTTACCTTAGAGAGTTAAGCTTCAGTTAAGATATCATGCTTTATGGAGATAAATGACTTCATTTATAAGATCAATGACTTAATCATTATGTTGATCCTAAATATTTGAAGAAGGCATCACTTATGTGAACTAATGATATTTTAATTTGCTAGCCCTATACCATCATTCAAATACAAATGTTTATTCTGATACTAGTTACTCATCATAATTAATTTGCACTCTAAAATGAAATTTTTATCCCCATTGTATATTTCTTAAAACCGTTTTGTCACTACAAATAATACTATTCTGTATTTGGAATTTTTATTAAAAATCAAAGTCTCCTTTTTTTTTTTTTTTAGACTCTCACCTTGGTATGAAAAGCATTTTAAAAAATCATAGTAACTTTTTAAATTATCATCAACTCATAAAGCAGATAGTCACAGTCTTACTTTTACTTTGCTAATTTGTACCTGAAAGCACCATTTCAATGCAAACAAAACAAAATGAAAAGTTTATAATGACCAAAATTCAATACAGACTTTAATCCTCTCCATCCCCCTCCCCAAGGATGCCAGTCTAAATTCCTCAGAAAGGAACACTTTGTCAAACCTAAGAGACAGCTTAAACTGAAAACTCACCTAGGATTTTATTTTGTATAGTAGCGGCAAGGAATCATGGGCTAGGCATCTACCATATTTGGGAAGCAGATCAAAAAACAGTTGATTGCTATTGGATCTGTTCCTATGCACAGCAGAAATAGAATTATGTTACCACCTACAGGACTAGAAGTATCAGTTATTCAATATACCACAGTATTTATGCAGAAAACAAAACAGAGTCTGTAATGGAGGTTTCCAGTATTGTCAGATATAATGTAGTGCTACATTAATTCAATCTATGATATCAAACACCCACACAATGACTGCAATCTGATTTATTACTAAGCTCCATATAATATAAAATTTGAGGTGCTGCTTGGAGGATTAAACCCTGTTTGAAGCCTGCAATCAGCTATTATACACATGCTTCCTGTAATCTAAAAATTATTTTAGATATACAAGGATATAACACTGTTTTCTGATTCATGAAAGATTATACTGGCAAATCCAGAATACATAAACTACATGAATTCCAAAGAGGAGAAATATCATGTAAAGCATGCCACCTTTGCATGCAAATTACTTGTCTACATTACAAATTTATCATATTACATGTGCTTTTATATTGAAATTCATTTTTTTATTTATATAACCAAACAAAATGCCATTAAAGAAATGATGCATGTAATTATGAAGAAAATTATAAAAAGCATGATGAATTTAATGTGACCACTAATTGACATGATATAGCTCATGATTCATAATTATGTGACAAAGAGCTTAGTCACTGGCTTAAAGTAATATGCATGTGCATATTGACCACTTTCTAATAGTTCTTTTTCCTAAAGCAATCAGATGGATTAAAAACAATTTGTGTTTACTCATAAATTTAGTCTGGTAACTACTACTAAATATCAAATATACAATAATTACTATTACATACAACCTGAACCAGAAAAATAAGTTGTTCTATGATAAATAACCCAAATTTAAGACTTACTAAGATCCAGTTTTAAGTGAACAGTTAGCTTCCTATTTTGAAATTTTCACTAACTATAATTATATAACTATATACTGGGAAGGTCCAAACTGTTCCCTAAACACATTCATACAGATTAAAAGAGAACTTAGAAAATTTGCCATTAGTAAAACTAAGTAATAGTAGAAAGCATTACTATCTGATATTTGCTACAGAAATCTCAACATGTAAATACATAAATGAGAGCATTAAAAATTTCCTATATGCCTTTCCCCCAATAAAACAAAAATATACATATAATTTTATCTGGAAAAGGGGAAACTCTGGAAATATTCAGCTACAGTGAAATGTTCAAGTACCCTCAATGAGATACAAARATTTTTCATATTTGTACCTCCTAGCAGGTTTTATCTGACACAACCAGCTGTTGCCTGAATACCTGAGTGGTTATATGGAAGTCTGCAATTTTGATAGAAGTTTTCAGTACTTTTAGATTAGCAGAGAGTTCTAAATAAAGGCATGATCACAAAAATAAATGTCTTTAATTTTTTTTTTTTAAAAAAGGGCAGACATAGTGCACTCATCAGAGCAATCTCAAAACTACTTGAGTGAACAAGCTGACTCATCAAATTAAACATAACAAATACACTGAGAAAACAAAGGGTAAAATCCAAAGTGGCTCTTTCCATTTTCCATTCCAGGAAGGACAATAACATTGGTGAATGGTTGTGAAGTTTTCAGTGAAGATATATTTTTCTTCTACTTGTGTTTATCATGAAATAATTTTAGGATTAAGCATGAATGCTATGGTTCAACTGTTTACTAAATTTCTCTGCTCCTAAAATTCTTAGAGGAGATGATTATTTTTTTCAAGAGTAATGATACAGCTAGCTGCAAAGTATAATTAGAACTTCTAGACAGATGCTTTTTCTCCAAAAGCAAAATCTTAGTCATTATTCCTCTTACATTATTAAAATTAATATCTGGAAAGACAAGATTTTGCAATTCAAACTGCTCAAAGTAGAACAGCTAATAAAATGTTCCATAATCCCATACTTTTAGTCCATCTGCTACCGGATAACTTTCTTTTGCTTGTGGTCCATGTGATGGCACTACATTTGTGGCTTCTCTGTGGAACCTTTGGAACTGTCCTGGATGGCTGAGATCTGGATACTTGCTGCCATTTGGAATGGCCATTTTCATGACCTGCGCTTTCCTGACTGGCATGAGTACTACAATGAGGATCCTGCTCAGGGTACGCTTCTGTTGAAACGCAACCAAGTAAAACATCCTCTATTTATTTTAAGAATGATATTAAATCCACCAAACTAAATATCTACCTGTATTTTGCTAAATGCTTTCCATTCAAACTCCAACATGAATAGCTTTTAACAGTAAATTTAAGGAGGCAATTACTAACTATTAACTGTACTATGGAAAGTTATTTTCATAAATATTATGGTCTTTATACAGCACAAAATGAAAATAGAACCTATTTCCTGACCTCCTAATAAGTACATTGGTTATTACATATGAATCATAACCATTTATTTATGTAGGGTGGAGAACTTGTTATCCTATGTAGTAATGACTGCCTCTAGGATGTTTTTTTAAAAAATTATTATTCTTAATAGAAACTTTGAGTAGCACTTCTTGAAACTAATAATGATGACAGGGCAGTGGCAGGTTTTTCAGAAAAGGGCATGAGATGATATAAGTACTTTAAGAAAAATATGACACAACAGGTTTTCTATTTAAAAATCATCTGATTCTCCAAAATGGCAAACAGAGTTAGTTTTTCTTTCTCTGTCAAAAATATGTAAATAATTGGTCTTGGAAGCATATGTTTAATCTCAGCAATAAGCAATTTTGCCTTCTTGAACTGTAAAAGGGATTTCTGTTGACATGAAGCAACCTAGAAAACCCAGGTTGTCTTCTCTTCAATTTTTTTTTTTCCCTCCAAGCCATGGGCAAAACCAACCTTGTCAGCACCTCCCAGAGCATGTAAGAGGATCTGGAAATTCGCTTTGTGTTTTCCAGGTTTCATGACAGCTGAGTTCACAGTTTTTAAATTCTTCAGAAAAAAAGAATAGTTCATGGAGGAAGGAAAGGCATTTATTAAGTGCATTTATTAAGTGCTTACTATGTGCCAGGCACTGTGATAGGCATTTCATGTTTGTATGATCTGCTTTTAAAAATATGGGTGTTTATTTCCCCAACTAAATTGTTTGTTCTGGAATCTGCCTCATTTTCTAGCACCATCAAGGTCCTTGTAAACAGTAGATGGAGCACTGGGACATTAATGACCCCTGGTTGTATCATGATTTTGGAGCAAGGAAAATCCAAGAAAGAAAGTCCAGAAAAGTGTGTGTGTGTGATCTATTGAAATGAGATATGTCAAATATAGATAGATGGAAAGGTAGATATACATCAAAATAATATATCTCTATATTGATATATATCAAGCTTATATATATTAATGTGGAACAGACATAATCACTATTAAATATCTGATTACTTATAAACACATTGTCAGTTTACAGATTCAAAAATAAATGTACATTAAAGGGTCAGTAGGGAAAAAAATGTGAGGAATCCTTAAACTGAAATTATCAAATCAGTGTTCATGGTTTTTTACTCATCATTTATAGGAAAAGGTGAATTATATTCCTAAAGTAGGGATAATAAATATCCCAAACCTATTCTTTATACTCAAAGGAGAGCCTGAAGTTCTGAGTTTACACCA